GAGAGTGTGTGTGTTTTCTCAGTTTTGACTCATCTCTGACTCATGCAGTGTTTGTGGCTCGTCTGTTGCTGCTGCGAATGATTTTTCTGCAGATTCTCACCTGATCGCTCTGAGCCTTCACCGGCTGCTCTTCTGCTACCGTCGCAGTTTTGCAGCTTGACAATTAAAAAAACACGAGTTTAATGGTTCATATGCTGCTGAGACTCAGATTCCTGCTTTATTATTTTCATTCTCAAAGGGCTTGTTTACATGCATTAACAAACATTTACACTCATGAAATGTAAACACTTATTGGCAACAGATGTCATGTTCATATTAAATACCACCCATAAAACTCCATTAACAATGAAACAAATACAATTGGTTAAATTATTATAATTCACTGTCATTTGATGTTTTTAAGAATAAAAAAAAAATTGTATTTGTATTTTTTTCTTTTGTATTTTAATCGTAATAATAATTTTGTAGAGTATTTATTTCTCTCATATTTGTTCTCCTGTTGCAGTTTGGCCACATCTGCTAATTAATAATTAATATTTTTATTATTATTTCTTATTATAACTTAAAGAGTGAGAGAGAGAGAGAGTGTGTGTTTTCTCAGTTTTGACTCATCTCTGACTCATGCAGTGTTTGTGGCTCGTCTGTTGCTGCTGCGAATGATTTTTCTGCAGATTCTCACCTGATCGCTCTGAGCCTTCACCGGCTGCTCTTCTGCTACCGTCGCAGTTTTGCAGCTTGACAATTAAAAAAACACGAGTTTAATGGTTCATATGCTGCTGAGACTCAGATTCCTGCTTTATTATTTTCATTCTCAAAGGGCTTGTTTACATGCATTAACAAACGTTTACACTCATGAAATGTAAACACTTATTGGCAACAGATGTCATGTTCATATTAAATACCACCCATAAAGCTCCATTAACAATGAAACAAATACAATTGGTTAAATTATTATAATTCACTGTCATCTGATGTTTTTAAGAATAAAAAAAAAAAATTGTATTTGTATTTTTTTCTTTTGTATTTTAATCGTAATAATAATTTTGTAGAGTATTTATTTCTCTCATATTTGTTCTCCTGTTGCAGTTTGGCCACATCTGCTAATTACAATAATTAACATAATTGATTAAACTTTAATTACAGTTGAAAATGCATTTAAAAATTAGTAATATTTTGTTTAATTATAATTAATTGTCATTATGTTTTAAGAATATTTAAAAAATGTTATATTAAACTATTTATCTTATTCATAATAAATTACATTTTCTACCTTTTAATTTTGTGGAATATTTATTTTTATTATTATTTCTTACTATAACTTAAAATTAACTTAAAGAAAGTATATTAAAATGAATTTACATTTCCTGCCTTTTTAATTTTGTATAATATTTATTTCTCTCATATTTGTTCTCCTGTTGCAGTTTGGCCACATCTGCTAATTAATAATTAATATTTTTATTATTATTTCTTATTATAACTTAAAATTAACTTAAAGAAAGTATATTAAAATTAATGAATGTTTTGTTTAATCTATTTATTTTATTTCAGCTAGTTTCCAAAACAACATTTCACATTTTAATTTAGTTTAACTTTAGTTTAAAATTAAAATGAATAAAAACTATATAGACATTTAAAAAAAATCAAATGACAAAATTAATAAACTAACTAAAATTAAAATTAAAACAGAAAATACACAAATTAAAATGAACTAATTCAAAATATTTGAAATAAAACTATAATAGTATCTTAATGATACTAAAATAACGCTGATTGAAACGTGCTTTTTCTGTGAAGCTACTTTGTAACAGCATGTGTTGTGACAAGTGCGATACAAATAAAACTTGAATTGTTATTATTTCAGTCCCTCCATGAAAAGTCTTTGCTGCTGATACGGCGTTACATAATGACTGAGTAAGTCCGTGCAGACGTGTCACTGCGGGTTAACTAGTCCTGCTGAAGTCTGGTTTGCTGCGGTCAGTCCAAGGGTCAGCGCTTTATCTGAGCTGATTAGTGCTTTAGTCTCAGGCTGGAAAAGCTTCAAATCAACAAGAAACCACATTCACAACATACTCCACTTCTGAAATATATGACCGCTCTCTGAGAGAAGCTGCAGGATGGGACTTGAGTTCCTCCCTGATCAACTGATTGGCCGGTGAAAATGTCTCTGTGTGAAGGTGGTTACAAATAATGCGAGGGATTGATGAGGTCAGCTGGCGCATGCTTTGTTTGTTATGTGTAAACAGAAGAATCATGTACCGTAAGATCAGGAACATGCATTAAGACTTCATGTGAGAAGTGGATCTGTGTGTGAGAAATTGCTTGTAATTTTCACAAATAATTACTAAGAAATGGCAAGTAACACATTGAATTAAATCAGACATTTTGAAGAAAATATCTGAAATGGTATTTTCGTGTAAAATATACTCTAATGGTCTTTGTTTTATTTTTTATTTTTTTATTGTTTTATTTACAACTTTAAAAACAAGTATGGGAATATTAAACTGAAGCTTATATAATTGATATTTTTATATGGTTGTAAGAAAATATTGTTAAATAATACTGATTTGTTATGATATTGTTAATACAATACTGTAACAATGAAACCAGGGTTATTAGTTAACTAACTAATTAACACACACACACACAGACAGAAGAGACTATTTCATAAAATCGTACCAACCACAAACTTTTGAACAGTACTGCAGTTTCTGTCTGTCGTTAATTTCTGTATCTGATCTGCTCGAGCATCAAGGTCATGGCTTTGATTCACGTGAACTAATAAACCTTGTTTCAACTTCAATAAAGGAACGTAAATGATGCTTGTAAATGATGACACTGAAGCCTGGAAAAAATTCAGCTTTGCATCACAGGAATAAATTGTATTTTAACAGATATTCACATAGAAAACAGCTATTTTAAATTGCAATAATATTTCACAATATCCTTGTTTTTACTGTATTTTTAATCAAATAAATGCAGCCTTGGTGAGCAGAAGTCTTCTTTCTGTTAGTGCAAAACTCACCGCCATGATCAAGTCAGAAGTGTTTTAAGAATAGACTAGGTTGAGTCAGTCGGTGTGTTGATGTGTGTTTTTCTCCAGTCCCACAGGAAAGAAGTTCCGCAGTAAACCTCAGTTATCCCGCTACCTCGGGAACTCGGTGGATCTGGGATGTTTCGACTTCCGCACGGGCAAAATAATGCCCAGCAAGATGCAGAAGAACAAGCAGAGACTGCGCAGCGACAACCTCAGCCTGAGCAAGGTACTGAACGCCACACATCTCACGGGTCATTTTAGTTTGTTCATTGGGTTTGGAAAATCCCTGTGTGACGGTATTTTGATTTGTCATTTTCTGCAGTGAAATTGATTGGTGATGAACAGCAGTATTTAAAGGGATATTTCACCCAAAAATGAACATTCTGTCATCATTTACTCATCCTCATGTCGGTCCAAACATGAAAATGAAATATTTAAATAATCAAATCTGAGAGATTCCTGTCCCTCCATTGAAAGTTTGTTCACCCAAAACTCAGATCAAAAATAAATCCATATGAATTGAGCCGTTTAATCAAAGTCCTCTAAAGAGACATGATTGCTTTATATAATTCAGGCTTTATTCACATATAAACATTGATCGTCAAACATAAACAAAAGCTTATACATATGATGTGACACGGGAGAATGAACCTCACTGGTTCTCGTGCATCATGCAAACATGCTTGAGCTTCCGTGACAGGATTTGAGTGCTGTAAACAGTGTTAGCTGATCAGTGTTTATATGCAAATAAAAGCCTAAATTACACCTGTTCATGATCTCTTTACTAGTTTTGGGTGAACAGACTTTTAAGGACAGAGTGGAGTTGCATGGAGATCAGTGCAGAGTTGTGTAGAGATGCGTGGAGATTGTGTGGAGAGAATTTTAGCTGTGGTAATTGTAATTATTGTATAAATATGGTCTGGACTAATACATTTGAGGACAAAAGACGCAAGAAGAAATTTGAGATCACAGACTTTATTAATTGCATTTCCACCTGTGTAATTTACAGATTGGAATGTCCGTGTAATCGTTTCTATGTGAGACTCACCAAGAGGAGGTTACGTGACAGAGTGGCTGAACATAGATACACAATATGTACTGGTAACAAGAATTATCCGATGCGGGGAGATGTGTGAGTTGCATGGAGAGTTGTGTAGAGTTGCGTGGAGATGCGAAGAGTTGTGTAGAGTTGCGGAAAGATGTGTGAAGTTTCGTGGAGGTGCGTGGATAGTTGTGTAGAGATAGGGTTGCAAAGGGGTGGAAAATTTTGGGTAAATTTCCGGAAACTTTCCAAAAATCCCTGGAATATTCCAAAAAATCCTGGAAAGTTTCCAAAATTTCTGGAATATTTCCGAAATATACTGTAAAATGTCCACCTTTTTGCAACCCTATGTAGAGATGAGTGGAGATGCGAAGAGTTGCGTGGAGATGTGTGTAGAGTTGTGTAGAGATGAGTGGAGATTCGAAGAGTTGCAGGGAGATGTGTGTAGAGTTGTGTAGAGATGCATTGAGATGCGAAGAGTTGTGTGAAGATGCGAAGAGTTGCATGGGGAGCTACATGGAGATGCGAAGAGTTGTGTGGAGATGTGAAGAATTGTGTAGAGTTGTGTGGAGATGTGAAGAGCTGCGTGGATATGTGAAGAGTTGTGTAGAGTTATGTGGAGATGTGAAGAGTTGTGTGTAGTTGTGTAGAGTTGGGTGGAGTTACAAAGAAATGCGTAGGGTTGCGTGGAGATTAGAAGAGCTGTGTGGAGTTGCGAAGAGTTGTGTAGAGTTGCGTAGAGATGTTAAGAGTTGTGTAGAGTAGCGTGGAGATGCGAATAGTTGCGTGGGGAGCTGCGTGGAGATGTGAAGTGTTGTGTAGAGATGCGTGGAGATTAAAAGAGATGCGTGGAAATGCGTAGAGTTGTGTAGAGTTGCGTGGAGATGCAAAAAGTTGCGTGGGAGTTGCGTAGAGATATGAAGAGTTGCATGGAGATGCAAAGAGATGCGTAGAGTTGTGTAGAGTTGCGTAGAGATGTGTGTTGCAGTAGCGCTCTGGTATCTGGCTACTGTAAGCCGGTAAAACACATTCTCACACCTTTATTTTTTACAGTTCTGAGAGGAGCGTGATTTACATGTGTCTTCAACAAGCAGATGCATTTACACTTGTTCAGCTGCATCTGGAAAATGTCTCAAGCGGATTGTAGTCCATCTCAAATGCGTTTCGGAGGGCATTCACACCCGATCTTTTCATGATTAAATGACTATCCAATCAGAGAAAACCCAGCGGCTCAGTGTAAATAGGCACAGTGAGTTTATTTTAAATAAGGAAGTTATTTTTTTCAAAACACATTTGCAGACTAACATTATTGCAGTTAGCTGCTCTCGTACGGGTCGTTTGTCCTTTAGTTTTGCGTGCTGATCCTGTGAAGCGCGTCATTGCGTGGGCTGTTAGTGTGTCTGTGCGCTTCCTCATGCATTTCTCTCAGGACTCTGATATGACCTCAACATTCAACACGCTTTCATTTTCAGTTCAGCAGACTCTCTATATTCTTTGCTCGTGATGAGCTGGTTGAAAGTGAAAGGATGAGGCAGGAAAGGTTTGGCTCTGATCTCTGAGATCATGCATTTATGACTCCAGAACCGGTCTGTGTTCGTCATGCTGGACGTTATAGAGGTGTGGTGATGTGCCTCACCCTGTGACACACTTCTGCCTCACAAACGCGTACTCACACTCACATACTCACACTGGTTTCCATGTTTAATGGGGACTCTCCATAGGAGTAATGGATTTTCTACTGTACAAACTGTATTTTCTATCCTCTTACTCTAACCCTACACCTAAACCTGCCCCTCACACAAAACTACAGGCATTTTTTAGATTCTCAAAACACTTCATTCTGAATGATTTATAAGCTTGTTTCCTCACGGGGACCTAAAAATGTCCCCATTTTGTCCCCATAACATAGGAAATACTTGTACCACACACACACACACACGAACACACACACACAATTTCAGTATTGCAGTTTAATGACAGCAAATGTGATGTGGATCTGCAGAGCAGTGCTGAATGAGAATGATCTGTAAACATCTGTAAATCAATAGTTTTGCTACTATAAATGAGAAACATGGAATCTTCCATTTCACATTATTTATTTGTTTATGTTTAATGAGTTTTATTTATTTATTTTTCTTTCTTTTATGTATATGAACTTTATTTATATGAATGTAATTTATTTTTGTCATTTTTGATACATTTTATGTATTTATTTAAATGAATTTTACTTATTTTATTTATTTTAAACAAATACTTATTGTAGTCAAGTCAAGTCAAGTCACCTTTATTTATATAGTGCTTTTAACAATAAAGATTGTGTCAAAGCAACTGTACAGCATTAAATGCAAAAATAGTGTGTCAATAATGCAAAATGACAAGATTAAACACTAAATTTTCAGTTCCAATAGCACTAATAGAGAGATACAACCACGATCAGATGATAAGAGCAGGTCATTTTTAACTCTAATGAGAGCAGTCTCAGTTCTATTGTACATATTATTTCCTAAAAATGTACTAAAATAATCAGCAACAGAACATATGATTGATAACTTGATAATACTTTTATTAATTAATTAATTTATTCATTCATTCATTCATTATTTTAATGAACTGTATTTATTATTATTTATGATTATGATTACGTTATGATTATTTAGAATTTTATTTTAATGAATTTTATTTATATTATTGTCATACATTTTATTTATGTTTATTTTTATAGTTTTAATGAATTTTTATTTATTTATTTATTAATCACATGTTTGGATCCTGATGTATGCGTGTTCAAAAATGACAAAAAATATGTGTATTTGTGGAAACATTTGCCTTATTTTATATTCGACAGTTGTGAAATATGTAAATGCATCGTTTTCTTCCTTGTTCACTAATGGGAAACTGTATGCTTCTTTCTTTTCTTTTCTTTATTTTCTAAAACCAGTTCTTATTAATTGACGTGACATTTACACAACGTAACTTTGTTTTATTTCAGCTGAACTGTCAAACTGAATTCTGCTCACCGTTCTCTAATGTATTAACTAACACGAACAAACAACGAACAACACATTTATAACAGTATTTATTAATCTTTATTAATGTCAGTTAATGGAAGTACAGTCATCCATTGTTAGTTCATGTTAATTCACAGTGCATTAACTAATGTTAACAAGCACAACTTTAGATTTCAATAATGCATTAGTAAATGTTGAAATAACCATTAACTAAGATTAATAAATGCTGTTCATGCTTAGTTTATGTTAGCTTAAACTTATTTTTATTTCAGTTAGTTGCAATGCAGCATTTTTAACTTTTAAGTCTTTCTTCTAATATTTATATTTCAGCGTTATATCAGTTAATGAAACTCTGAGTTTCATATTGTCTTGTTGTAGATTATTGCATAAATGCAGCCATAATTAGACCGCATGTTAATGCAGATGATATAGCATAATATGTGTTTAATTTAGTCTGAATATGACACTGGCCTGAAGTATTCATCTCTTTGGAATACCTGATAATAATCGGTCAGTGGTTTCAACAGAATAAGTTCATCCAGCCAGTGGCATCATTCAGGAATCAGGTTTTGCAGATCCTTAAATAAGGTGTTTGGTTGCATTGGAACCACCAGAGGACGCTGAAGGATCAGTCATGTCTCACTCGTGTCTCATTCTGCACTCCTTCAGTCTCTGGTTAGACAGGAGCTGCGGAGATGGATGTGTGGATTCATCACATTTCAGACTAAAAGCTGGAAGCTGGATGAAATTTGCTTTTCTGACGGTTTGTTTGGAGTCTTGTTTACTAGACCTGCGAATATGATGCCTGCTGCAGAAAATATCTTAATAAAGTCAGAATCGAGTCTTTTTATTCCTGAAAAAACGTGCACAGAGGTTCAAAGGTTTTTGGATATTGAATATTTTAAAAACAAAGTTTTAATGCAAATTTGTATAAGAAATCTGCAGATTGTGCGCTATTTTCTAGACAGCTCTATAAAGTGCATTATTTATTTATTTTTTTTAACCCTAACCATGCATTTATGAAGTTATTTCATGATGTTTTTTTGGGTCTATGTAAATTATTTATTTTTTAATATTTCTATATTTATTTAGGCATTCATGAATTTATTTATTTGTGCATTAATTAATTTCTTTCTTTATGCATTTATGATTTTTTTTATGTATTAATTTTATTTATTGGTCTAAGTAAAATTTTATTTTATTTTATTTTAGCCATTTCTTGTTAACTGACATGTTGTTAACTTTCATTATCATCATAACTCAAAGGAGTTGGTATTGGAGTGGAGTACAGTAAGGTTTTTATTACTTTTTAAAGAAGTCTCTTCTGCTCATCAAGCCTGCATTTATTTGATCAGAAATACAGAAAAAGCAGTAATATTGTGAAATATTATTACAATATAAAATAACTGTTTTCTATGTGAATATCTGTTAAACTGTAATGTATTTCTGTGATGCGCAGCTGTATTTTCAGCATCATTACTCCAGTCTTCAGTGTCACATGATCTTCAGAAATCATTCTAATATGCGGATTTATTATCAATGTTAGTAATTTTTTATTCATCAAAGAATCTTGAAAAAGTATCACAGGTTCCAAAAAAAAATATGAAGCAGCAAAACTGTTTCTAACACTGGCTCTGCTTGCATCCTGCAGCCCGGGCTTATTTTCATTTAATATTGCATTTTTAATAATTCCCATTGTCTACTGACTAGGGATGTAACAATTCACTCAACTCACGATTCAATTCAATTCACGATTTTTTAGCAATGATTCACTGTTTCCTTGGTTACCGCTGTAAACAAAGCAGCGCTGCACTTATAAACTTTAATATGCATCATACAGAGGCAAGATGAAAAGAAAAAACACCATCTAAACTTTTCTAAAGACAGTAATTTCCCCTCAGATATACATTCAAGATTTGTTTAGCATCTCAACCGATTTGAATCGTCACATATTTGAATTGATTTTCAACCGGCTCGCGGTTAATCGTTACATCCCTACTACTGACATAATATATACTGTAACCAAGCTGTAATTTCTCTTGGCGGCCCCCTGGTGGCCACAGGGGCCCTAAGCAGCCGCTGGAGTATTAGGGTCACGGCTCTGATAGCTGAGGGTGGATTTGTTCTTCAGGAGTGTTTGGATGTAAATGAAGCCGTTGCAGCCGCTGGCTCTTTCCTCCGTCTCATATATTCCAGTAGCGAGGGAGGATTTAGCTCTACAGGCCCCGCGGCGCTCATGGACGAGCTTTATTTAATAACTCCTGCTGTGTTTATGAGCGGTTGTTGCGGTTCATGTGTCCCGCGGGCCGCCGCTGATGTCTGAGCAGCAAACACACCGACGCTCCTCCGCTTCTGTGTTTAATTCCTCAGATTGTGTGACGTGCTGCGCTTTCAGCCCAACATTTGACCTTTACTATCACTCTGCCCGGATTCAGACGCTTTGGCTAATTAGACTCATTAAAAGCCTTGAGCATAATGTTAATGTTAGTGCAGGACTCTAGAGGAATGCATTTACTTCTTTGTCATTCATCATTGACTCATTATCAGTCATGTTGATTCAGAGTTGTTTGACTTGAGTATTATTTATAAAGTATTTATTTTATAGTATTTATTATATTTGTATAATAATAACATACTATATTGTAATATAATATAATATATATATAGTATTTTTTATTTGTATTATTAATTATAAATTAGTTTTGAATTAGCTTTTATTTTTGTTTACAGTTTGAATTTTAATTTGAGTAATTTTGTGTGCTTTTGTCATTTTTAAAATTTTTAAACACTTTACTTCAGCTTTATTTTTATTTCAGTTTAATCTAAGAACTTTTGGTACTTCAACTTTAACATTTATTAATTAGTTTTGAATTAGCCTTTAGTTTTATATTTTTCATTTTCATTTCAATTTTAGTTTAGGTTTAAATTGTGTGCTTTTGTAATTTTTTTAATGTTTCTATTTTGTTGTATTTTTTTTTTGTAATTTGTTTTATTTTAGTTTTAGTATTTTTAGTACTTCAACTCAAACTTATTTTATTTCATTTTTTCTATTTTTATCTCTATTGTAAGTTTTAGTTTTTATCTAATATAATAATCTATTTAAATGTAATTTATTTTGTTTAAATGTATTTTATTTCATTTTATTTCTGCTTTATTTCAATTATCAAAAATGTTTTTTATTCATTTTAGTTGTAATTTGTTTTATTTCAGTTTCAGTAATTTTAGTACTTCAACATTAAACTTATTTTATTTCATTTTTTCTATTTTTATCTCTATTGTAAGTTTAAGTTTTTATCTAATATATTTTATTTTATTTAAATTGAATTTATTTTGTTTAAATGTATTTTATTTCATTTTATTTCTGCTTTATTTGAATTAACAAAAATGTTTTTATTCATTTTAGTTGTAATTTGTTTTATTTCAGTTTCAGTAACTTTAGTCCTACAGCATAAACTTCAACAGCATAACTTATTTCAGTGTTTCTATTTCATCTCTATTGTAAGTTTAAGTTTTTTTCTAATATAATATAATATAATATTTTATTTAAATTAAATTAATTTTATTTAAATTAATTTTATTTCGACTTTATTTCAATTAACAAAAAGGAGTGTAATTAATTTGAGTTAGCAGTAATCTGAAGTGTGGTCTGAATCTCACCGACTGTTCTTGTGTCTCGTGTGCGCAGCTGTTCTGGGAGAAGCGTCTGAAGGGCCTGCGCTCGTCGGACGTGTCGGAGGAAGCGCTCAGGACGATGGATCTGCCCAGAGGTTTACAGAGTAAGGCTGGTTGGGTCTGGTTTGAATGCGTTTGCGATCGCTGGCTAACATGGGTGCTGTGGCGCAGGTATGGGGCCGGACTTGACGGACGAGACGCTTCTGTCGGCCATCGCTAGCGCTCTGCACATGAGCTCGGCGCCCATCACGGGTCAGACATCCTCGGCGGCCGAGAAGAACCCGAGCATATGGCTGAACACATCGCAGCCGCTCTGCAAAGCCTTCACCGTCACAGACGACGACATACGGTAAGACTCTTGACAGGTCAAAGGTCAAAGCCTCGCTCGTTTCTAACAGAATGCATCAGTCTCACTCCACATTAATGTATATGAAACATCAAATGCGTTACTTTATAGCCTTTATATTTAATACATTATAAAAATATCTTCTTCATCTAATATTTTATCATCTAATATTACATTTTATTTTTTACTTTTATTGCATTAATTGTGCCTAAGGTTTTCATCTAATATTTCATCATCTAATATTATATTATATATTTTTTATTTTTATGCATTATGCCTACATTTTTCATCTAATATTATATTTTATAGTTTCAATTTAATGCATTGATTGTGCCTATATATATTTTATTTTTTAATTGTAACGCATTCATTGTGCCTATATATTTAATTTTTTACTTTTAATGCATTAATTTTGCCTATATATTTAATTTTTTACTTTTAATGCATTACTTGTGCCTATATATTTAATTTTTTTTACTTTTAATGCATTAATTGTGCCTATATATTTATTTTTTTTACTTTTAATGAATTAATTGTGCCTATATATTAAATTTTTTACTTTTAATGCATTAATTGTGCCTATATATTTATTTTTTTACTTTTAATGCATTACTTGTGCCTATATATATAATTTTTTTACTTTTAATGCATTCATTGTGCCTATATATTAAATTTTTTACTTTTAATGCATTCATTGTGCCTATATATTTAATTTTTTACTTTTAATGCATTACTTGTGCCTATATATTTAATTTTTTACTTTTAATGCATTACTTGTGCCTATATATTTAATTTTTTACTTTTAATGCATTGTGCCTATATATTTAATGTTTTACTTTTAATGCATTACTTGTGCCTATATATTTAATTTTAATGCATTAAGTGTGCCTATATATTTAATTTTTTACTTTTAATGCATTACTTGTGCCTATATATTTAATTTTTTTTACTTTTAATGCATTAATTGTGCCTATATATTTAATTTTTTACTTTTAATGCATTAATTGTGCCTATATAAAATAGGCCTAAATAAAATATTTTATATAAAACTTTTTTATATAAAATAAAAGTTTTTCATTTCATATTTAATAATCTAATGTTATATTTTATGTTTTAGTTTTAATGCATGAATTGTGCCTATATATTTTATTCTTTTAATTTGAATGCATTAATGATGCCTTGTAAGGCACCTTATAATGCATTGTTTTCTGTGAAGTTCTGAGATCATCCGCTCTTTTAATATTCCTTCATAATTCAGCAGTGAGGCGAGGGAACGTGTGAATGTTTTATGCATTCATCGGGGGTTCCTCTCAATCAAGGCGTCGGGAATAAGTGTCACAGTTCAAGCCGAGCCAAAAACCTTCCCGCTTCTCCTGAGATTGATGCGCGAGAGTCATTTCACTGAGACACTGGGCCTGTGCTGTGGTGTAGTGGTTAAACACTGGCTATAGCGCTGGTTAGCAGAAGACTTTGAATAAATGAGTCGGATAGATCTGGAACGACTGTAATGGACCAATAGCACATTTTCAGTCTTTCTGCCAGAGTAAATGAAATGTGATGGGATTTGAGTTTTTAAAATAAAATAGGAAAAAAAGATATTTATTTATTTATATAAAATTTACATAATTTTAATTTTTTTTTATTATTTTAAAAAATTTATTTATTTATTATTAATGTATTTAATAACATTACAATTTTTATTTATTTAATTATTTTAAATATTACTTAATTATTTATTTGAAATGTTATTTAATTATTTGAAATGTTATTAATTTATTTTACATTTTTTTATTTTAAATGTATTTATTTATATTTAATTTATATATTTAAAATTGTAAAATTTTAAATATTTAATTATTTATTTACATTTCATTTATTTTTATTTAGTTTACATTTTTTTTGTTTTATTATATATATTTTTTGCAATTTATTTATTTATTTTATTTATGTCCAGTCCTATTAATGCAAACTTTTTGAACGAAATATTCTGAATGTCATCTTTGTTTTGATGGTTGGTTAGATGTAAACATGATTAATGTGTTACACTGCAGCACATTTTATGGAGGACTGTTTCCTGATCCTGGGAGAGTAGACTACAATGCCGGCTGTTCTGCAGATGAAAGTTATGAAATAAAACATTTACAAATTTTACATTTTTAAAATATGAGGAACACAGTATCTGGTTTAAGAATATTTAACTATTTTTAAATTAATTATATAATATTGTTTCTGCTCAGAATTCTGTGTTAAACACACGTCATTCCTGACAGATAAAACAATTTATCTATATAATCTATAACAATATAATCTATAATCTATAACAATATAATCTACTCGGTTATATAAATAAATATTAAAAGAGTTTTTTTTTTTGTTCTTATTTGAAAAACAGCAGGTCAATATCGGTGTTTTGAGCAGTTCTGGTATCAAATTCAGTATTATGATTTTATTTATTTATTTATTTATTTAATTTATTTGTTTATTTACATGTTTAATTATTGTAAATATTTATTTAAATGTGTAATTATTTTATTTATTTATTTCACTTTTTTATTTTTATTTTACATTATTTAATTTATTATTATTTATTTATTATAATGATTTCATTGTCTATTAATAGTTCTGTTATTGTTGACACAGATATGTTTCCTATCCTGAAATATGGCTGGTAGATTGATAATAGTCAAAATCTCTCCTGCCAGCTCAACGTCTTCAGATGGTTTTCTTGTCCAAAACACAAGATGGCAGTAGATGCACACACATTCAGCGTGTGTGTGTGTGTGTGTGTGTGAGTGAGAG